AAAGAAAGAAAGAAAGAAAGAAAGAAAGAAAGAAAGAAAGAAAGAAAGAAAGAAAGAAAGAAAGAAAGAAAGAAAGAAAGAGAAAAGAAAAGAAACCAAACCAAAAATCTATTTGGGAACCTTTTTTCCCTAAAAGTTTTTTTTTTTGTTTTAATCCTGAAATCACTTAGAACATGGACCACTTCCCACAGATGCTTCACCCAGTTCTCTGAGATTCCATAATGAAGTCAGTCTGGTCTGACCCCTCAGAAAGCCCCTTGGAGGATGGGCCCTGTGGGGTCGTGGGGAGGTGGGGACAAGGAGCGTGGACTCACCAGCCTCTCTATTCCAGGAAGCCTCGGCCCCTTGGTAAGAGACAGCCATGCACCTGCAGGCCACAGCTCGGCAGCTTCACCGGTCCCACCCCGGGACAGTACACGCCCCATCATCTGACTGCTGTGACCCCGCTCGACCTCAGACCAGCATGGGGGAGTCCTGCACTTCCCCTCCCCATGGGAGAAGCAGCACTTTGTCCCACAGCGAATCACAGCCTCTGCTCTTTCCAGAAAGGAAGAGAACGGAAATCTTACCTGAGTGCAGTATTTTCCTTCACACTTCCTCCAAGCCCCCACTGTGTAAAGACCTCCACAGACTACAACTTTATTCTTGTACATTTTTAATCAGTTCTTACTGCAGGCTCTGGAGTCAATGCTCCGATTGTTTTTGTTTGTTTTTTTTATATAAATAATATATATTATGTATGTGAATTGTGTATCTATGGTATGTCTGTTCAGAGACATATCTGCACATTAAAATGCAGATAAAAGTGATTTGTCGAAAATCACAAGGTACTGGACTTTGTTACAAAGCGACCTGATGACTGCTTTGACAAGAGCAGATGAAAAAAATATTTCATTATCTAAGAATGAGGTTCTGAATCCCTCTTCACAGAAAAGGTTGCAGGCGCTGTTCTTTATAACCAAAGAACTCCTATGAGACCGAACGTCTTTGCTGTCCACTCTTGTTTTGTGTGAGTGTATAATCTCACTTCCAGTCTGGTGCCATACTACCCTTGGCTACCCAGCCGTGCGCTACCCTCCTCCCTGTCCCACTTCCTAAGCACACGGAGAAACGGCTGTATATAACCTTTGGTCTTCCACCTAGCCTGATACCTGCTGACTTGATCTTGACCATTGACAGTGGCTGGGGCTCCTACTCTCGCCTAGCATTTCCCATACCCCGTTCAACCCATCTAAGCAGGTGGAATGCACAGGGCAGTATTACAACAAGCAAACAGAAGCTGTCCCAAGAGTGGGGGAGGGGCGCTGGGGGAGGAGTCTAGATCGGGGGCTTCTTTATCGATTTGTTTCAGATTGGTAGATTCCGTTGTGGTGTGGTTTTTGCCATTTTTGCTTGATTCTGGAAAACAATGAAGAGATGGACTGAGCTGTCGAGTTCATCGGTTTGCACGCCACCTGGTTTGAGGGGGATTGAATACGGACCACTCTGTTGTCATGGTTTTCGTTCTGAAACTCTCCTGCAAGCGGAGACATTGTAGGAGTGTGTGTGCAGATTTTTACAGACAATTTTATGTACTTATTCTGTAGATGCCTGTGCAGTGGACCTCGTGTACAGCCACACGTGTGTTGTGAGAGAAAGTGAGAGCATGTGTGCGGCCTGCTGTACCGTTTCTAAGTTCTTAGCGTTGGTGAGGGAGATACGGGAGATTTTATTGAAAAGCTGCTGTTTTGTGTGTATAGTGAGCTGACTGTAGTATTTTACTACCATCTGTCTAAAACAAAAAGAAAAGCTGTAATTTATATTCCCTTTCAACTTTATTGTATTTAATTGGTACAGATTTGTGTGTGTTTTAGAATACAAACTGTCTAATTCAGATTTTAAAAGATTGTCTGTTCTTAATAACATTACCATGGGATGGGGGTCAGAGTTTAGAGGATAAAGTGTTGACTGTGCAGGCTTGGGGACCTGAGTTCAATACCCAGAACCCACATTTTAAAAAAAAAAAAAAAAAAAAAAAAAAAAAGCTGGGCCGGGCAGTGGTAGTGCACACCTTTAATCCCAGCGCTCGGGAGGCAGAGCCAGGTGGATCTCTGTGAGTTCGAGGCCAGCCTGTTCTACAGAGGGAGATCCAGGACAGGCACCAAAACTACACGGAGAAACCCTGTCTCAAAAAACCAAAATAAAAATTAATTAATTAACTAACTAATTAATTAATTAAAAAGCTGGGCATGGTGGTGCACGCTGTGTAATCTCAGCCTCAAGGAGGGGCTCACTGGCCAGCCAGCTTAGTCTCATCAGTGAATCCCAGACCAGTGAGAGATTCTGTCTCAAAAAGCAAGGTGGACAATGTCTGAGGAGTGACACCAAGATTGTCCTCTAGGCTACATACCCACACATGCTATTAAGTTCAAGTCCAGTGTATTGTATTCGCCTGCATACACACCACTGTGGTGATGGCGTCAGTAAGGCCTACTGACAGTCATTGGTTCATTGAGGACTTAGTGTCACCTAGGTACTGTCCTAGGCACATACTTTGATCTCATCTGACAGGTGCTATGGACGCCAGAGTTAGTAAGTGTTGGGTAAATGGAGAGCCAAGGCAGAGGTCGGCAATGGAGTTGTGGCAAAGCCGAAGTTCAACCCACATCTCTGCTGGCCTCTTCCCTTGGTGCTCTGCCCGATAGCATGACCTAGAGGGGCTCCGCTTGAAGAGGGCGGCAGTGTGTGGTGTGATATGACAAACTGCCCACTGTCCAGCAATTCAGGGGGCTTCTGGAGCAGGTAGGACATGAATTGTCTCCAAACAAGTCTTTACCACAGATTGCAGGACCTGCCGCCACCTGTGGACCAGTGCTTAAAGATGTCCTTGCCGAGTCTTTGTGGGAAAGCAGCTTTTTTGAAGTTTCCAGGAAATGGAGCCAAAACTCTCTACATCAGTGAGTGCCTGATGTGGACCTCCAGGAGAAAATAGACCAAGGGACCGGAAACACTCATTTAAATCTTATACAGTAGGCTGAGGGAAGAAAGCAGTTATGTGAGCTATTAGTAAACACTCAAACAGTTTAGGGCGCTGGGGAGATTGCTCACTCAGCAAAGTGCTTGGTGTTGAAGCATGAAGACCCAGGATCAGATTCCCAGTGCTCCTGTAAAAACGTCGGGGACAGCAGCATTGACTTATGGAAAAAAATAACTGTTTATAAAAATACCTCTAAGAGAGAGCTGGAGAGATGGCTCAGAGGTTAAGAGCACTGACTGATATTCCAGAGGTCCTGAGTTCAATTCCCAGCAACCACAGGGTGGCTCACAACCATCTCTAGTGGGATCTGATGCCCTCTTCTGACCTAAAGTGTACATGCAGTAGAGCATTCATACATAAAATAAATCTTAAAAACAAAATTGAAATGCAGACAGACAGACATTATCTTCTAAATTATACTGCCCCAAGCAATAATTATTTTAAAAGACACTATTGGAGCTTTAGAACACTAGTTATCTATTTATATGATTAAACTTTACTTAAAAAGTCAAGCTTTCTGGTCATGTAATGACCAGATCTTGACTTAAAAATATATGTGTATGGGTGTTTTACCTGCATATATGTAAGTGCACACATGCATGCCGTGCCCCAGAAGGTCAGAAGAGGAAGCCCTGACATTGGAGTTACAAAGGCTGAGAGAGGCCATGTGGGTGATGGAACTCCAACTGTGGTCCTCTGGAAGAATGCCAGTGCTTCTAACCACCAAGCCATCTTTCCAGCACCCACGAAAAGATCTTGAAAGAAGATGTAATTGAACAAGAGTCCTTACTGCCTTTTGGAGTAAATGCCAAGAAGAGTATGATTCTGGGATACAACTGGATAGAAAGCTTTTTTATTCATTCAGCCCAAACTTCCTATAGTATCAATGACACTCATCTTTCTGTAATGTACAGCTCATCTCACAGATTAAGAACAAAAAAGAAAAGGTGAAGACAGGCATGTGACACATGCATATAATCCCAGCACTTGAGAAGCAGAGGCAGGAGGATCACAGCAAGTTCAGAGTCAGCCAGGGCTACAATGGCGAGACCACGTCTCAAAAACAAAACAAAACAAAACAAACAAAAAAACCAAAAAAACCCAACACTAAATCTGTAATATACAATCCATGTCAGGTTTTCTCCTAGTCTAAAGAAAGACCACCAGTTCCAAGGGCAACAGCCTCTTCAGCAGAGGTCCTGAAGCTCACTGTCCCTGTTGCCCGTGGGAAGACAAATCCAGAAGATGCCAGGGAAGAGCAAGAGGTGAGACCTGACATTTTGCACAGACTGCATATGAATGAAAACGAAACCCCAAGGTCTAAATTTAACCTGTTTGTCATATGTCTCTAGACCTCTGAGGGGAGGGAAAAAGGAATACAGGTTTGAGAACCAATTGTTATTGTTTCCAGAATAAGCTGTGTACAGGTGTAATCTAACTTCTTTGTGCATACATACATGTACACATGCACTTGCACGCATGCACAAACACACACATGCACACCTTGTGTTCTGAGACACTCACCCACCACTGTGTAGTCTCAGTAAAACAATTCTTTCCTGCCTGGAGACTCATCGGGTGCCTGTGTCCTTGCAAACTGCCCTCATGTAGAAGACTGCAGCTTTCCAGAAGACATGGGCTGTGCCTCAGTCACTATAACCTGAGCCCAAAGTCTTGGAGGTTTCTTCATGCTGAGAAAGGAATTCTGGAATCCTTCATGGGCCTTGTTCATGAAGATGTTGGGAGACAGATAGGTCATGAAGATGTTGGGAGACTAATTGATAGGAAAATGGATCTTGTGCTGGTGCAAAAAAAAACCCAACCCAAACAAAACAAAAAACAAACAAACAAACAAACAAACAAACAAAAAAACCAACAGCTCTCATCTTACAGGGAATAAGAGATAGTTTATTCTGGAGACATTTTGAGGTTACTCCAAATTCCATGTTCCAGCGTGAAAGTCATTTTGTGAAGTTTTACAGACAGAGAAAGTCATAAATTGAAGCAAGTTTAAAACACATTGGTGGGTACACCAGAGAGGCAGGTACAGCAAGAGAGAAGCTTTTCTATAGGCCCAAGATGCCATCTGATGACATTTTTAGATTTGGGCTTGGTGGAAGCTAGTGGTCTGTTAATAGATGTCTAAAAGGTTTTTCTATTAGTCACAGGATGTTTGTTCAGACTCAGAGGTGGGCAAGGAATGGCTGTCCCAGAGGGTTAGAACTAGCCCAAGATAAGGTAACTAGCCTTTGGACCTTCAACATTCCAGTGTCTCCACAATACTGAAATTCCAATCAGTCAGTCTGTAGACACAGCTTCATTTTAGGAATTCTCATTCATAGGTGGAAAAAGTAATGTTTAAAAAGGTAAGTTTTGAAAGTTTCTCAGAGACTATATAAGATTAACTTGGCAATTAAAAAGTTGGTTTGGGTTTATCATAATATTAACCAACTGACCTCACAGTACCCTAATGTCTTGAGCTATTTAGATTTTTGTTCACTTATTTTGTTTTCTTGAGACAGGGTCTCTCTATGTAGTCCTGGCTGTCCCGGAACTCACAGACCCTTCTACAACTTTCTCCCCTGGGATTAAAGGTGTGTACCACCATGTCTAGCAAGCTATTTCAGTTCTAACACCTGGAAATGGTGTTTATGACGACTGAAGAGTTACTTGGGGCTTTGTCTCCTAAACTTCTGCCCAAGTCAAATCATGGAGATGCTGTTTTTATTTTTATATTTATTTAGTGTGTGTGTGTGTGTGTGTGTGTGTGTGTGTGTGTGTGTCTAAAAGTTTTCCTCAGGTCCCGCCTGGCCCTGAAGTCCACAGCTGCTTATAAAATAATCACTCAGAAGCTTATATTAATTAAAACTGCTTGGCCATTAGCTCAGGTCTACCACTGACCAGCTCTTACACTTAAACTCAGCCCATTTCTGTTAATCTACATGTTGCCACATGTTCCATGACTTTACCTGTGTGCTATTAAACACTGCTCCCTGGACATCAGGCTGGCATCTCCTGACTCAGCCTTCCCCTTCCCAGAATTCTCCTTGTCTATTTATCCTGCCTATACTTGCTGCCTGGCTACTGGCCAATCAGCGTTTTATTTATCAACAAATCAGAGTAACACATATTCACAGCATACAAAGCATCCCACAGTGTGTGTGTGTGTGTGTGTGTGTGTGTGTGTGTGTGTGTGTGTGTGTACATGTATGCTAGAGCATATGTGTGGAAGTCTGAGGACACCTTGCTGGAGCATTTTTCTCCTTCTACCATGTAGATTCTGGGCTCAAACTCAGGTCCTCAGTTTGGTGACAAATACCTTTACCTACTGAGCCAGCTTACTCGCTTGAGATTTTCTGAAATTTCAGGCATAATGGCTTGAGCTCATAATGCTTTCATTTGAGAGACTGAGGTAGAAGACTGTTCTGAGGTGTAAGTCAGCTTGGGGTACACAGGAGTTTCAGTCCAGCTAGGGCTACAGAGTAAGACCTTGTCTCAAGAAAACAGAGAGAATTAGCCGGGCGGTGGTGGCGCACGCCTTTAATCCCAGCACTCGGGAGGCAGAGGCAGGCGGATCTCTGTGAGTTCGAGGCCAGCCTGGGCTACCAAGTGAGTTCCAGGAAAGGCGCAAAGCTATACAGAGAAACCCTGTCTCGAAAAACCAAAAAAAAAAAAAAAAAAAAAAAAAGAAAACAGAGAGAAGCTGGATGTAGCAGAGGCAGGAGAATGTCCGAGTTTGAGGCCAGCCTTATCTACTGTACTATACTGTACTAATTCCAGAACTGCCAGGGAGGGCTACATAGAGAAACTTTCTCAAGACACACACACACACACACACACACACGAAGGAAGGGAGGAAGGAAGGGA